CCTCCTATGCTAAGCATAAAAAAATAAATGAACAAAGCTGATTTGAATCCCCGGTACCTCACGTGGAGCTGGATCTTCTTACAGCGTGCCAGGCCTTACTGACTTTGGGTTCAACTGTTGCATCCTGGTTAAGACAGAACACGGTCCCCGCTGCACAATCGCCGGTAGCATAAAGCAGGGCGGGTTGTCACTCAGGTGATTGCACCTTCCCACTCTTATGTAAGGAAGTGATAGAGAAGGCAGCTCCCATTCTGTAAAAATGATGTTTGTTAGTGTTATTCAAGGTTTAGGGTGTTCTTTTTGTTGTGGTTTTTGGGAGTTATTTTTTATACCTGAATACCATTCTTGTACTTTCACAACCGCGAAGACTTTTTTCCTGCTTTTGACATTCATAGGGAGAACTGACAGGTCTCTCACTGGAGGAGGAAAACTTCTAAGTGTATCTTAAATTCATTGTTGCTTCAGAAACATTGGGATATGCTTAAGCACTTTTCTAACTTGGTTTCCAGTACTTCTCTTTTACTTTTGCATTGATAGATATCATCAAACTGATTAGAGGTATAAATTTTCATGGTGAGGAGTAGAAGGTTCCTCTTTTTTACTTTAAGACTTAAAGTTGTCTGCAAATTAGTCACCTTTTCTTTATATTCTTGCAGTAGAAACTGTTTAATGGAGTAAGAGTTTTCCAGATTGCTGTTTAAGTCATATTTCTACTTGTGCATATGCCAATCTCTTCATAATTTTTTCTAGCACTGATGATTGCTGCATGAGAAATAAATATATTTTTATGATGAAATTTTCATTTTAGTTTCTCTGATGCATTTCAGTATTTTTTTACTTTATCTTAAATCAACTTGTAAAGTAATTTGGAGCTTTTTTATAGGAAAATATAGTACCTGCAGAGGGTAGGGAGATTTGGATGTAAAATAAATAGTGAGTACAGTGAATTAATATGGTGAAGAATATATAGTGAAATCTAACCATGAAATCACATGCCTTCCTCTGCATTCTTTTTTTTCCTCTTTCTCTTGTTTTTCTTTTTCTTCCCTTCTCTCAAGGTTCTGTTGCAGGGTAAGCTGGCAGATACTTGAATGTAATTGTTAAGGTTATAAAGGTAATTTGTGAACTTTTCCTGGTTTACCTGTGCAAGACACTTGCCTTTGATAGTGCATTTGTGGTGCTGTCTTTATGTAAAGCTTGTTAGAACAGTGCCTCAGCTTTCATCGTTTCTCTATGGTGGGTTATATTGAAATAATAGTAATTCCCTTGCATACTACGCAATTAGCCTTGCTAGATGATATTGGATCTACAGATTCAGTTTCAAAGGAAAGGTTAAGACACCATGAGTATCTTTTTCCTTTGAAGTATGCTGTTGAGACTTCGTCTGGGGATGAAAGGGTATGGGGTTCTAGGGCAGTGAGGGCTAAAAGAATGCCCATCTCAAATATGGGCAAATCAGATTGTTTCCATCTCTCTGCAAATAATGCCCTGTAAAACACTGATGCTTCAAAGAGCTGAGGAGTTAATCAGATAGATGTTGATGGATATGGCAGGTTAGGTGTCCAATCACACCAGAAGTAAAAAACAAACACCACCACAATCCCTTCTGAAAAAAAAAAAAAAAGTCTTATAAAATATACGTGCATATAATAGGATTTCCTTGATATTTATTCCTTTACTTGTTACCAACAGTGCTAAGCTCAGTGTATTCCCAATTGGAAAGTATCTTTTTAATTATCCATCTGTTTTTCCCTTACCTTTTATTATTCTGTCTGAATTGGTGCTTCTGTGTGCTTCAAATGGTATGTAGATTAATTTCAGTTCTGGAAGTCTTAAATTATTTATACTGTTAGGGAATAATGTGCATTTCCATTGTTTACAGCTCTGGTGTTTCTGATTATGTAGCATCAGTCTTGTTTTGCTGAGAGTGCCCTGTGTTGATTAACTCTCTAGATAGTTTGATAATGGCATATATCCAAATGATGTATATACAAATCCCAGTTGTTTCCATGAACCTTAACAGAATTTAGTGAGGTATTTGTTACTGGGGTTTTTTTAGATTAATATGTATAGAGCTACTACTTGGCTTTTAAAATTCTTCCTCTGAGAGATTAGATGGTTTTGCCTGTTTTACAGTTCTGCATGTTAAAATAACAAAGGCTACCTAGGCATGGATCTTAGGAAGAAACTCTTCAGTAGGAGGGTGGCAAGACTTTGGAATAAATTGCTCAGAGATGTTGTGGCTGCCCCCTCCCTGGAGGTGTTCAAGGCCAAGTTGGACGGAGCCTTGAGTAGCCTGATCTAGTTGAGAGGCGTCCCTGCCCATGACAGGGAGGTTTGGATTAGATAATCTCTAAGGTCCCTTCTAGCCTAGGCCAGTCTATGATTCTATGATTATTCATAGACTTAGATTGAAAACAGGAATTTGACACAATAATGAGAATAAATGCTAGTGCCACTGCTTAATTAGGTTTACTAGTAAAAGCACTCACTTCCCCTCCTCCTCCCCCATTTACTGTTACCTTCTTAAGAGTTCCCATTTTAGACTAGGTACATTGATTCAATGGATTTGTGGATATATGATGCCATTCTATATCTGTGGCTTTAGTAAAGACACAACAGCTGTACTTCTTCCCCCCAACAAATCCAAATTATGCAACATATACTTTAACATTTAGCTCTAGTGCACGTGTATTGTCGTTTTGGCACTACGTAATACACTGCGTATTTCAGTTGTGAAACAAGCGTCTCAATGCTGTAAAGTGAACCAGAAACAGCAAAGAAAACTCCGTGGTTTTATGGACCTTACAGTTTATATCCACACTAGGAGTGTCTGCTATTCAAAAGCATTTTCTGCATGAAGTAACCGTAGTGCCTCAGTCTGAAGTTCAGGGAAGCTTCTGAGCAATCACTTGTCACGGTAAGCTACTGAAAGGTGCCAGTCAGTTTCGTTTAAGCATGCAAGCAGCGACAAAGCACCTTCTTTAGCAAAGAGAATTTCTCCTTTTGCTTTAGATTCTCATATACAAATGACTTTTGAAGATTCTTGTCTCCTGTTTTGTATTTTCTTGTTTCCTGACAAGAGAAGGCTTGTACCATCTTTCTCTTAGCCCTGTTGCTCCTAATTGGTTTTGTAGTTGCTGGACAAAATCTAATAAACGAGTACATACAACCGAAGGAAAACCTGTAATATGAACTTGAAAGTTATGTGTCCTTTATAAGATTGATATAGTGGATATGAATGAGGATTTTTTATGATGTTGGATGTTCTTAGTTCTCCTATATATAAGTCTGTTGCAAGTAGTGCAACTTGATAGAAATGTATTTGTAGAGGGGAGACAGTTGGCCTGAGAACCAGTGTCTATGCTGTGCATGTTTCATGAGGACCCCGGTTTGGTCTGTTCCCTGAACATCCATTGGAACCTGGTGTTCATCTCCTGGTCTAGTTCCATCCATTCAGGTTGATGTAGAGGACTCAGAGATTTGCTTCACAGTGCTGTCCTGATCCAGACTCAAGTACTGTCACAAAGACAACCACAGAGGAATTTCCTTGAACTTCCTTTTTGGTTTTGAGGTGGGTTTTTTTTTTCCCTCTGGCTGGAAGCAAACCAAAGAGAAGCTTGATAATCCAAAATTATTTTTTAATTTCTATTATTATACCTTATGTATTTACTAGAGGCCCATATAAATATGCAGACCAGAAACATAACAGATGAGTTGGAATTCTGATGTCTCTGGTACAGCTTCTCTGCACTAACTCGGTAGGGTGGGAAAACAGAAGGTGGAATTCTTTCTGGCAGTAGCCTGCTGAAGCCAACATTGTTTTGCACCAAAGACACTAATAGTAATGGGTAACAGTAAATAACCTCCACAGTGCCATTCACCAGTGAGTTTTGAAGTGTCTAACAATGAAAGTAAGCAGCACCAAACCAGCTGGAGTTCGTGTACTAGAAAGTCCCATAACACCAAAAACATAGTCTTACAGCATACCAGAAAAACAAGTGTAAGAATTTTGGCAATCCAGATGGTGTTATGGGGTTGGGTTTTTTTCCCCTGAACTCAGTTGTTTCTCAGTCAATTAACAGAAGATACTAGTAGCTTTTATCTCACAAATTCAATGGATTCTCAGTACACTAGCAAAATTAGTCACAATGTATTTGCTTCTTAAAACTTATGACTTTCACTTTTATGAATCTACTGATACTATAGATCAGGTGTCTTAGTTTTTTTCAGGGTTACTTTTTGTGCTTATACAGGAAAGAACTAGTCCGCTGAACTGACTTGAAAATTGAATTATATTCAGAGTTCACAGGGAAATAAAAGAATTATGGGCTCACACAATACAACATTTCCTTTTTCTCTCTGTAAAAATTCTTAATGGAAATCTAAGAGACTTGTGGTTTACCGGGAAATTAACCTGTATGGGCTGCTTAGGACTGATCGGATTGAATTAACAGAGTTGGTTCTTTCTAAAGCGTATTGTGGCAGCTCACAGTTCAGGTGTATAATGGCAGGGGAAATAGAGCATAGGTGCTTCGAGTGGTACCCCAGCTCGTATGGAATCAAGAAAAAGTGTCGCCACTTGAATTTTGTCCAGACTTAAGTTTCTTTGTTAGGAGTTAGAAGTAGCAAAAACAGTGGGGAAGAAGCCACCAGCAGATGACTAAAATTACGGTTTCTTTACCGCTCATGTTTCCTGGAAGTTTTTAAGGAGTTGCATTGTGCAGCAATTTCTCACAGGGTGTAAAACAAAGGTGAAAGCAGCATTTCCAGCAAATGCACTCACTGCCTTGATCCTTTTAGACTTTCACAGCCGCTTCCATTACATTGGTTTGTTTTGCCTTGAATGCATTTATAAGTCCCTGTTTCAAGCAGACTAAGCTTATGTTACATTTATCCACTTTTCTTTTCCTTGGTGGTGAGTGCAGACGCGTTGCCTCACATGCCGCAAAGTCCTGAGCAGCCCTCGGTGCCTCGCAGCGTTACGAAGCGGGACAGCGATGGATGCCAGCGTCTCTGTTGTAGCTGTTATTAAAGATGGTATCTTCAGCCGCAACACTGAAGTTATGCAACATAACGTTCCACCGTGTATTAAAATATTAATGAAAACACGGGATTGAAAACAATGAATGTGACCCGATATAAAAGGAAGCATTTAATCAGAATTAAAATCTTCAGTAATGAAATCTGGCTGGCTCTGCGCGCGTTTGTGTTCATGCTGAGCATAGCCCTCTGTTTCCTTTTGTTAATTCTGAATCAGACTTCTGGCTGCCTTTTTGCCACATGGAGTGATCCAAAACTTCATGCACTCCTTCTTGCCAGCAATACGGCAGACTCTGCTAACAGGCAATGTTTCCCTGGTTTTTACTCAGTAGCACTTACTGCACATTAAATACTAACATATTGATCAATTGGCACGTTGCCTTTGAATATCTCATAGGGACTGAAGCCAGCATAAGAGTCCAAATGCAGAAGTACTTTTCTGCATGATTTTATTGTCTTCTGCCATTTATGACAGTGAATAAATCTCGAAGAGTTTCAGTTCTGAGTTCCAGCTTGGTGAATTTGGTAATGTCCATTTGGTTACAAAACCATTTTTCGTTGTTGTAGCTATTAATCTTGCTAGTTTTTGTAATGTTCTACACAGAATTTTGTAATATTTGAAGCATTTAGATGACTATCTAAAGGAAGAGCTATCATTGCAAATCATGAAGACCTGTCTAGAGATTTTTCAAATTCTGAACAATAAAAAAATTGAGTGTATGATATTGCACCGTGCTTCTTTCTACTTAGAAAACAGAATGATTCATATCTCAGAATATGCCTGAAAGAGAACAAATGTTTGCCTGTACAGTTCGGGATCGAGCTCAAAGCAGTTAATTGAATTAGATGAAGACTATATTTCTGTGTGACCTCTGTATAAGGCTTTCTGCCATTTTTCCCTGAGGTAATTTCCTGGACTGTTTATTCAAAAGTCAGCGAAAATAATTTGAAGAGTATAGGGTATTTGGCATAAAGGTAATTTTGAGAAGATTTACCTGTTTCTACTGTGACAATCTGTTATCAATTTACATCTTGAATGTTTTGGGAGTTAAAGAACCAGGATGACATTACCATAAGAAGGATATGTTCCTGCATTTGGACACGCGGAGTATAGTTGATAAAACATTCACTCTCTAACTTGGGTATGTCCTGCTGTATAGCAGTGTGGAGAGGTGAGAAAAGGTGGTGAAGCTCTGTGGTCTGTAGTTCCTTTCAAGAGAATAAAATTGTATAAAATAACAACACAACAGTGGAAGAGAACAGAAGTGTATGTAATAGTTCAGCAACATTTTTGAGCAATGTGGCTTTGCTATGGTGTCTGGCATCAAAAAATGCTGTTCTTAGCTCTGCTGTTACTTAGAATTAGCCACTCAGCCATGCGAAGTGCTTGCATCTTGCACCTTCTGACTGATGTTTAAGGCTTGACCTCAGATGTAGGGGAGAAATATAATTTTCCAGAATATTGAAGAAGTGACTGAGCTGTTTGAGTGTGATAATGATGCTGTATATTCTCTAATATTAAAATGTCATATTTTTCAGCCACTTTGACAGCATGATGGGGATTTTTTGTGGAAATAAGGGTCCTTTCAAAAAATGTTAATGGTATTGGTACAGTGATAACATGCAAAAATTTGAATGCTAACCAGAAGGACACTGCTAAAATGGTTGCGTTGAGGCAGGACTTTAGCAAAACAGTAGCATATGCAGATTTAGGGCCATGCATATGGCAGGAACATTGTTATCACAGGTGTGTGCATCTTTATTTCTTTGAAATGTCTCCTCTGATGAGTTTTTGGCTGCTTTAGATTAGAGGGATGGTTATAAAAAATCGTACAAGCACTGGCCATTTAAGTCTTTCCTGCACTACCGAAAAAGTGCTGCCACCGTTTCATTGTCAAGTCTGTGGAATACTTGTATATCTCCTCTTTTAACGATACAAGGTAAGACAAAGAACATTCTTTCAGGTTTTTCCAACTTAGAAACTATGGGAAGAGAGTCAGTTTTTCACATCTCGAGCCTGTGTAGCTTGCTATTTGGAAGCAGCAGCTTTCCAATCAGTTGCAGTCTGGCTCCATGAGCCATATATTCTGGCTTTAAGCTGTCACTGAAAATTGGCTAAATGCTTGCTTCTGTCCTTGCTACTTGCATTCCTTCCTTATTTTTCTCCCTGGAATTCTAAGTTACAGGACACTGGCATTTCTGGGTTGGTTCATGTATTCTTTCTTAAAAGAGAAAGCCATTCTGCGGGTGAGAGAAGGTTTGATAGTTAAGGATAGTTAAGGAAAACACCGACATTTTGGTGAAGTGTCTTCTCACCTTTTCTCTTTTGTTGTTTGGTCCTTATATCTCTTCATTTCAGTTACCTTTTTGTGCTTTAATTTGGAGGGCCAAGACAAGCTATCACTGGAGCATCTTAATCTGATTCTTTTTCTCTGTCATAATCTGCTTTGAAGGAAGGACAGTACAGCTTACAGTTCATTGCAAACCTTGATTTGGAGCGTACAGAAAAAAATCTTTATTTACAGAATACGCCCAAATCCTGGGATTTAAAAAATCAGACCCTCCTTTGCCTAGGGAAAACTAATTTGTGATGTCCCAAAGACACAGTTCTGTGGGCTGTGTCTAAAACCACTTCGTTTGTGCCCATAAATTTGGAAATCTACCGTGTTAGTCACAGTGAAAATATTGTCTATAACAAAGCATGACTGAAATAACCCCAAAACTCTAAAAATAAACATACAACATAATAATAGCAATAAAAAAGAAAATAACCATAAATATTTAGAACAAGTAAGGGGGAGCTGTCTCTGAAGTCTATACAAATGAATCTACTCTTCCGGGAGGTAAATTCTGACTTACAGGCAGTAAGTGCTTTGTCCTAGACCATAATATGTGGAAGATGTTGAAAGGGATGACGTTTTGTACACAGTCAATCAAATTAATGGTTAGGTCCTCTCTCCTTATCTTTTTTCAATTTTCAGTCAACCTAAGGGATACTCTCAGAGTCGCATGCCTGAGGCATCACAGACCCTTCAGGGTTTAATTAGGTTTCCCAGTGCTGCAGTGTGCTCTCTTAGGCCTGTCAGTTACCCTTCTCATAGGAGTTAAAATTACTCTTTCTATGACTTATCGGAATTGGTCATTTAATTGATTCTCAATTCATCATCTAATTCATTTACACTCTCCACACATGGAAATACTGTTATGGTCTGACAGCTATGTTGCCTGGTAAGATTCCTGACAATATGTGAAGCCCGAAGATTCACCTGGTAAAATAAAATCACACTGATTGTGAATAATTTCCATGTATTTTTGTAATTATGATCAGTAACTTTCAGACAATGTTTTTTACAAAAGTCTTTCTTGGAACTTGCATTTCTTTCTGTTAACAATTGTATGTTTAATTACAGTAACAAATTACAAGAAGTTTATTTATTTTAATGCATTTAGTATTATTTATATGCATTCAGTGTAGTTACTGCCAAAGGTGTCAAGATTTAATTGCCTCTGCAGTGTAGCATGTTGCTTGAATCAAGCGTATTTGTCCAGCACAGAGCCACAAAGATGATGAAGGGAGTGGAACATCTCCCTTATGAGGAAAGGCTGAAGGAGCTGGGTCTCTTTAGCTTGGAGAAGAGGAGGCTGAGGGGTGACCTCATAAATGTTTATAAATACGTCAAGGGTGAGTGTCAGGAGGACGAAGCCAGGCTCTTTACATCGGTATCCAATGACAGGACAAGGGGCAATGGGTACAAGGTGGAACATAGGAGGTTCCACAAAAATATTAGGAAAATCTTTTTCCCTGTGAGGGTGCCAGAGCACTGGCACAGGCTGCCCAGAGAGGTTGGGGAGTCTCCTTCTCTGGAGACATTCAAAACCCGCCTGGACACGTTCCTGTGTGACCTACTGTAGGTGATCCTGCTCTGGCAGGGGGGCTGGACTAGATGGTCTTTAGAGGGCCCTTCCAACCCCTGACGTTCTGTGATTCTGTGATATTACTTGTATTCACCATCAGCACTTTTTTAAAGATGTGATCCAGTAGGTGCAGCACTCCTTGATGTTTTCCTACATGAGTGAATTAGAAGCATGCAGGCATTGTATTTGCTAATGTGTATTGCTAAATATAATAGGGAAGGACGCTTTTTTTCCAAAGAAGGTAACTGTTGACCTTCAGTAGATATTAAGATCCCAGTTTGGTGGTGCTGTATAAAAGGCAATCAGTCTTAAATATTACTCTTTGGAGAAAATACATTTTAAAACAACTTAAAGGTTACAGTAATTGAGGCAGTACATTTTATTAACATTTTAGAAGTGTGATCTAATTTCACTGCTGCTATTTCATACATCTAACACCTATATTTAGCTCAATCTCAGTCAATTGTGGATTGAGTCTTGGGTCTGTTCATAGGTGCTAAACCAAAGCTTTTTCTTTGTTGCTTTGACCGCCACTGCTCTTTAGTGCTGTCATCGGCTATGCCATACTAATAATATTATTACTAAATTACATAGGTTTGTAATTTAAACTTAATGTGCCACCCTGACACCTTCAATCTGTTAGCATTCTTATAGCAGAATTGTTTGAAGTGTTCTGTGTAGACTATTCACACTTTAATTCATTCGTTAATTCATTTTCGTTCATTCATGTTAAATTATACTATTCTTCAGCACTCTCAGTTCTTCCAAAATTTGAATTACTGGTAAAATTTCTGTCTGCCTCTTAAAATATCTACTTAAAAGTGTTGTATTTTCAAATTTAAAAATAAATCATTAACAATGTGAAAGGTTAGGAAGAGAGCTTAATAATAAAAGGCAGATCTAAAATTGTTCCAACATGAAATTAAAAATAAAAGGCCTTTTAAAATCACTTCTTGCGTTCATTAACCCTACAATTTCTGCCATGGTGACATCATGGAGGAAGTGTTTATGAGCCAGCTGTTCAAATTAACTAGTTGATCTCTGGTAGTGGAGTAGATAAAACACAGGGATTGTTTTGGGTTTTGGTTGGGGTTTAGTTTGTGGTTGTTTCCCTTAACTTTGCTTTTTTG